TGGTAGGCTTACGTTACAGCGACTCATCCACGCTTGGAAGGATCAAGCTGCTGCTGGACTCACTGCCCTGGATAGTGAGCCGGGTCTTTTGGTTTTGCAGATAAACCGGTTCAGCCCCTCGGCTACCGGTGCAAAGGATACCACTAGTGTGCTGCCGGATCCTCGCATTTTGATACCCTGCTTCCGACATCCTCCTGCCCCACAAGACTCGGCCTTGAATGTGTGCCATCACGAATACCAGCTGATCGCAATCATTCTACATGAGGGTCCCAATGCTGCCTCCGGTCATTACCGTGCGCTCCTCTGTTCCTATCCTCCTGAGACGGAGCCCGCCTTCTGGCAATGCGATGATGCAAAAGAGCCGACTTTCCAGTCCGTGCTATCACCGGAAGCACTGACCACAGGTTACCTTTATTTCTACTGCCGCACCGTGCAGCCTTGAACATGACTGGGACGTTATGGGCCGTTCGTGGCAGGTCCTACGTCATCGCTCTGGCTGCCCAGCACGTTTTCACCGACATGTGTAAACACACATGGCTCCCAGCAGCCGGGGTGGCTCCCTGTCATAACAGCCTCGCCAAGCGGATCTTCTCTGCAGCGTCTGAAAGAAAGATGTATATGTATATGTATATGTATATGTATATGTATATGTATATGTATATGTATATGTATATGTATATGTATATGTATATGTATATGTATACGTATATGTATATGTATATGTATATGTATATGTATATGTACATGTACATGTATATGTATATGTATATGTATATGTATATGTATATGTATATGTGTCTACATATGTGTCTATATATGTCTATGTACGTCCATGTGTATGTGTATGTGGGTCTTTTTGCGGTTATGTGTATGTGTTTGTGTTCGTGCATGTGTTTCGTGTGTGTATCTGCACATGTGTGTGTGTATATATATATATATATATGTACATACCGAATACATCGACGTGGATATGGATATGTGTATGTGTATGTCCAAGTGTAGGTGCAGGTAGATGTGTTTGTATATGTATGTGTCTATGCATATGTATAAAAAACAGGTGGTAGCTAGTCAACTCTTGACGGTCCATATCAATATGGACTGTCTCTGATGCTGCGTGGTCTTGTTGACTGAGTCGCAGGAAGGACTTAAGTTGAAGGGCCTAGGGCGAAATGATGACTCTGGTTGTACGTAGCAATATCAACTCGCTGTATACTTAAAGCGCAAATCCCCATTCGTGCACCGTGTGAGGCGGCTGGAGAGCGTGAGGACCTGAAGAAGATCACAGGCGAGTGTTGTACCCAACAGTAATGTGGTTTCACATGAGGGAGGCCGCCGCTCTTAGGACTTTCAAGAACAGATTGTCTGTGCCCTCCGAAAGGTGACCGCTTCCGCCGCCTCAAGGTGCCAGTCCAATCTGGGAGGTATGGGTATGGACCGGTATGGACGTCTGGAAGGGAGCTATCTTCACGTCACCAAAATACCTGTCATCCTGAACCAACATACCCGGTGCTCCTCACCCCGAGCCGGACACACTTCGCCACATACGACGTCCATGGTTTGACTTGCATTCAGCATCTTCGGAATGCTAAGATGCACTGAGAGGCTGAAGCAGTGCTCGGTCCGCTGTAGGTGCAGATCGATCCGATGCTACACGTGGAGGCTGTGAAGGCCAGCAAGAGAACGGAACCTTCGCGGTTTCGAGTCTGCAAGATGACGATCCGTTCTAGGGTGTCGAAAGGACGCATTGAAGCTGCTAAGTTCCAACTCCTGACTTCGAGGTGTAGTTTGCAGCCAGTGAAGGCAAGATCATGTCCAGCTTAGCAGCCCCGGCCCAACTGAACAAGGAGGAGTCTTCGGGTTTCGCTGCACGTATGTGCAGCCTTGCGTCTTGGGCCTAAAGCTTAGAGTCTAGGCCACTCTGGCCGCCAGCTCTCGGGTGGAAGATGCATGGAGACCTTTCAATGTTAGACAAAGTCAGCGTGTCAATAGCAAATGCCATAACATCAATGGGACACTAGAAATATCTAGAAATCAAAAGAAGAAGTAGCCCCTGACGAATGGTCCGTGTCCGAGCAACAAGACAAGGCAGTCTTCGTTTAGTGGATCTCGATGCTGTCACCACTAAACCTCTTTGACCGTGCACCAAGTCTGAAGCCACGACGCGGTCCGTGAACACCAAGCCAGGCCATCGATCGTATGCGCCGTGGAGCGAACCTTCTGTCCCTTGGAAAGCATTCAAGTCTCGGGATCTCTCATGGAGGGTTTCGAGGATTCGAGTCTCGCGCAGGCTTGCGACACTAGACCCGCATCTGTGGCTTGTGATTGTGTGTCAAAATAGACGAAAGTCTTCAACGAATATCCTCTGCTACCCTTGCGTCGGCCTCAAACCTGAAAAGCCCGAACTGCTCACCTGGCTACATTCGGATCCTCGAAGCCAGCAGAGCTTGCAGAGCTCGCCGCGCCGGAGCTTCGTCTCAGGAAGCACACCCACTACGGTTTCCCGCACCTGCGCCAGTTCCAGGCACCCCGGGGTCCCGGCCGGGATCTGTGGAGGTGTTTGGCGGCGAGGTTGCAAGTTGTGGGTGCCGAGGACCCTTCGACACATCAAGAGGGCCAATTAATCAGATAAGAAAATAGAAGCCATTTCTTGTGCGAAATCGTGCTCGGCCTGACAGATGAGCTGAAAAAATGCTACGTCATGTTACGCACTTGGTTCTGTCCACCGTGGGGTCAGCCGGCGGCTAGCTAGGGCTTACGGTTAGGTTGAAAGGTTGTTCGATCCGGAGCAATGTTCAATAGCCATGGAATGTCATCCGTGGCAGTGGTCGGAACAGCTACCGTCGTCACCATGCTAGCCTTGAGAGCTCTTCGGCGACGCTGGTCCCCTGTGATAACCTGCAAGCTGTCATGCCGATGTGGGAAGATTCAGGGTGAAGTATCGGCTATCCGTCAGGACTCAATTCGCATTAACTGCTATTGTGCTGACTGTCGAGAATATGCCACATTCATTGCATCACTAGGAAAGCAAGACGAGACAACCATCGGCAAACTGGGGGACAATCGTGTGGTGCAAGTTTGCAAGAGTGCTCTCAAGATAACACAAGGACAAGAGCTCATCAAGCTGGCAAGGAAGGCTGCAAAACCCAATGCCAAAGGACAAATCTACATGCATCGATTCTATGCAAGTTGCTGCAGCGTGCCGCTTTACAACACGGTGGACTTCTTGGGCTTTGTGGGTGTTTTCACGGATTTCTTGGACGAGCGCTGCAAGGAGTACGCCGGGCCCGTTCGTATGTTCCCGGAAGAAGCGCTTGGTACGCCAGCCAGCCCGGAAGCTGACGTTTTTGTCCCGGACTTCTTGTGGAAGCTGCTGCGTTATCACTTGTGGCGCAACTGTGGCCCCTTCGACTACAAGCAGGAGCCTGTGTATTGGGCAACTGCAGAGGCGAAGAAGCAGGACTGACTCGTAAGATGCATCGCTGACCAGAGGTTTAGCCGAAGGGTGTGTGAGTAACGGTTTAGGGCTCACGGGTCGTTCAAGATCTAGGACCCATAGGAATCTAGGACCAGTATCTGCCTGCTTCTCACTTGCGAGATCTCGGCGGGCTTGAAGCACGCCCGTGGCTGACTGTTTTCTGCTCGATGGTGTACCTGTCCTGCAGGGTTGAGTCGCATTTTTCGGGCGTTTCTTCTAGAACTCCAGCAAAAGAGGGCTTCACTGCCCGTTCCCCAAACGGTATTCCAAGAGCAGACAGTTGGTCGCGACGGCTGTGGAAGATCGGCTGGCATCAAAAGTAAAGCTCCCATTATACCCCAGTCCAAAGCTTCATCTTTTTTGAACTTCAGAATCATTGAGAGATCTTCATGTGGGTCTGCTTGGGTATTGATATATTGATATTTTTTGGCCGTGTAATGGTCGAGTTGTAAGTGCATGCTATTGTGCACGGGAGTTGGGGTTAGGATTCGCGGTTTCTGGGCATGGAATGTTGCATGCTTGGTACTTGGGCAGGAAACCTTCCGGGCAGTGCTTGCTAATCATTAATCAATGACCGAAGCCGACCAACGACCCCAAAAACATAAACATCGCAAGAATCTGACTGACTGCGCAGTTGAGCGACGACAAACGCCGCCTGATTTGGTACTCCGGGGCCAAGAGGCAGGGCGGAGGGTCTCGACGGTATCGTTCGTTAGTTCCTCGGGCTATCGACAGCAAAAGACAAAACAGCAACCGATCAGCATTGCAACTGTTGCTAGAATATGTTAAATCAGTAGTCGTGAGGAGTCTGTGTTTTGCTTGCATGCGTGCAAGGAAGGAGGACTCTATGGTGAACCTCGAGGAGGCCATGCATCTGCTTCAGCAAGACAGTAAGACAAGCAGAATTCTCAGAGTTGGTTTCGTTTCTCGGTGGTTTCGGGATGAACAGTCTGAGTTTGTTCTGTCCAGTAGTTTGAGGGTGCACTTTCGAAGATGGTTCAATGCTTTTGCGATGTCTTTGCTCTTTCAGCTTGGTTTTGAACCTTGGACCGAAACATGCGAGACGAGAGATTGGAGCGTCGTGAACCTGCACCCCAAGGCACAGTCAAAGCCGTTAGGATCCCAACAGTTACCCAATGAAGCTTTGGACCTCGTGCGCCCTGCCCTAATCTTTAAACCCAAGCTCACCAGGCCTGCGTACTTGTTCAGCAATTGTAAGGCAGGCGCAGCAAGGCAGGTAAGGAACCATCTGAGTCCAGGGCAATTCCCACCCCAACTCGTCGTTCGATGAATGCTCGGTAGCGGCACAGACATCGAATGCAGGTGGTCGAGATTAAGCTCGGGCAGCAGACGCCGGTGTTCCTGCACTACCGCCCGCCCGACATGATTTCTTCGCAGTGCTTGTGCCTAAAACAAGTAGTGCAACACATCTGAAGCCGACGTACTCGAATTTTCCCCACCTCCCCATCTCAGGGCTGACGAAGCTTCAACTTGTAGCCTGGAGCCTCGCCAAGCAGGCCTTCCCATGCTCGAGCACTTGTCCTTCTCAATTATCTATGGCCCCAAGGGCTCCGCCGTGCACCAAGTTCCAGGGTTCGGGGACCTAGGTTTAGGTTTTGCGCTGATCCCAATTTTTGCATTGCATTGATGCAAGGTTCCAGTCGAGTCAGATTTGCCATAGCTGCGATAGCATCCTTCCAGCTCGTGAAGTTGGCCGGACTTGTAGTACTCGTCCTCGTCGTCCTCGTTGTCGTTGTAGTGTATGTAGTATGGGTGGGAGCAGGGCAGGATTAAGGAACAGGATTAAGTTACCACGGGGGTGATCAGCCTGTAAGCCATCTTCTCTAAATCTGAGGAGTGTGAACAAGGAGCCTTGACAATGCCAAACCTATATCAAAGCCGCAAAAGCCCTAGAGCCCCACACTTCCCCTTTCCTGCCTCAGTCTTCACTACTAAGCGTGACTCAGTACTCTCGGACCATACACATACTCCCTCGTTCCCGCTGCTCAGAAGACGCTGGACCTGACCTGCAAAGATGAATTCGAGTTTGACCATTGGGTCACGGGCCTGAAAGCCATCTTTTACGCCTGCAAGGCCCGCCAATCGAGAAGAGCAGGATGAGGGTAAGAGGCAACACTATTCAAAGAAGCATGACAAGTCTTCACGAGCACGGAAGTGGTGGTTCTGGTACTATATTTCTGTGCAAGTGCGAGCACTGAGCAATAGAAGTTCCACATGACTGCGATAGGGCTAGGACCGCTAGGAAGGAAACAGAGCAATGCTGTGGCAATGCAAGTAAGGCTCCTGTTCCTGTGGTTTGAGGGCTCCTGAACCTGTGGTGGAGGGTTCATAAACGGCGGTGCAGGTTTGGAGAGTGTTGATCTGTCTAGCCAGAAATGGAGGATGGTATTCGGACTTGGCTCGAGGTTTCCAGGATTTTAGGATTGTGGCACTACTGCTACAGTACTACTACGACTACTTCCACTACCCTTTGTGTTTTCTCTTCTTCTTCTTCTTCTACTACTGCTGCTGCTGCAGCTACTGCTACTACCAATACTACTAGTGCTCCTGCTGCTGCTGCTGCTGCTGCCGCTACTACTGCTACTAGTAATTCTGCTGCTGCTACTGCTGCTGCTGCTACTACTACTACTGCTACTACTACTGCTACTGCTACTGCTACTGCTACTGCTACTGCTACTGCTACTGCTACTGCTACTGCTACTGCTACTGCTACTGCTACTACTACTACTACTACTACTACTACTACTACTACTACTACTACTACTACTCCTACACTACTACTACTACTACTACTACTACTACTACTACTACTACTACTACTACTACTACTACTACTACTCCTGCTGCTGCTGCTGCTGCTGCTACTAATGCTGCTGCTGCTGCTGCTGCTGCTGCTGCTACCGCTCCCCCTACCGATCCCCCTACCGCTACTACGACGACGGCAACTTCTACTCTTGCTGCTCGCCTACTGCTGCTGTTGGCTACCGTCGTCGTTACGTCTACTTAAAGGGTGCTCCTGCTTGTCAGAAGGCAGCTTCAGCATCGGAATCCCTCTATCCCCAGGTCAGCGACTGCACCCTATACGCCTTCATTGAGATTGCGTGAACTGCGCAAGAAGCCTCCACATCTAATCAGAAATATCGAAGGATCACTTGAACCGAGCAACCTGGAAGAGATGGCTAAGCGCCTGGATCCTTCTCTGCCGCGTTCAGAACAAGCAGATCTCCAAGGAGGCTCTCTTGGCCCACTCCAAGCGCTTTCAAAAGGCGCAAAGGGAGTGTCCTCAACAAGTGAAGCTCTACACCCTAGACCCTAAGCATAATGCGACGCTTTGGTTGTAGTTCTACCCAACTGGTATTGAGGACCGTGATAGTTTCAAGGGGACGATCAGAGGTCTGCGGGGTTTGAAGGTTGTTGCGGTAATGCTGTGGTGACTTCTGGGCGCCGACCGAAAGGGTCGATCTGCGGTCTTTCTCTTCGAATGCACGGGTGCTCGAACAGTCTGTATCCCTGACTGTCTATGGCCAGCCCAATCCTGTATGCAGTGACATGAGGCCTTCAAGTCGAAGACCCCGAGCCCTTCGAGTCCGAAGGATGTTGACTCCTTTGGTCCGCTTGAGACGCTGTGTTCCTACCTGGCGCTACTTTGCCGGGCCTCACTTGACTCCCAAGTTGGGGACCTCGTATCCTCAACGCGCAAGGCTACTGTTGATCTCTACTTGGTCTAGAGCCTAGATGGAGCCAGAGGATCATGACCGACGCAGCAAAGCCCAAGTCAGTCTGTTTTCCTGCTACGGCCTTCGCAACTGTGAGCTGGAAGGCCCTCGAGAAGAACAACGTGGGGTGCAACCCTCGGAAAACCGATGATGCGTCTCGATATGGGGTGGCGAGCCAAACAAGGCTCTGCCTCTTCCCAGGGTGAAGTCCCGTAGTGCCAAGGATCAAGCTGACCAAGCTGCCTGAGGTGAAGGAGAAGGCGCAACCAGGGGGTGAGACGAGCAGGTGAATGGTGTGAGCTTTCCAGGAATTTCGACCCGTTCGGTGGATGTCTGAGTGTAGGGCTGGAGGCTCAAAACCTGGGTTTCGGGGTTCAGTTTGGAAGGAGTAGGCACCCTGGTTTGAGGCCCAGTTCTCAGCACACCCGAAGCAGGGCCACGTGGGGCTCGATGACTGCATCGAGATCGTGACCCACACTCCGCAAGCGGCCTAAATCTCCGTGCGGTCCGCCGGGCAGAGCTACGCTTGTTTCACGCAAAGTGTGCTGTCATTGATGGTTCGCACATTGTCCGTTGCCAGTAACGAGTCCAGACCCGAAGCTCAAACTCACGAGCCGCCCGAGGCAGCAGCTGGATACCAAGATGGAACGATTGAGGGAGCGGCTGAAGACAATGAGCCAGCAGGCCCTGGGCTCAAATCAATCGGGCCGCAGGATTTCGGGCGTGAGTGTCAAAGGCTTGCGTCAGGCTGCAAGGCTTCTTGTTTCGGTGTTGGATTTTTGGGACATTTCGCGGATCTGGATTCTGAAGACAACTGCGTGCCTCAAACTCTGAACCCTGCACCCCCAAACCTCGCAGCCGAACGGCAAGAACTGAGCCTCGGATTCTGAGGTTTCCCGGCTGGATCATCACTCCGCAGCGGAGATGGAGGTCCGTAGCTCATCTGGGCTGCAAGGGAGGGAGAAATGGGACACAGCGTTTACAGGTTTAGATCTGGGGGATCCAAAGGCAGGCTTCGGGGCTTCGTGGCAGGCAAGTCCTGCATTGCAAGACTTTATTTAGGTGCAGGCCATAATCTGCAAGCTCTGATCCCCAGCACACACCACCATTGCCATGATCACGACGATGATGTAAATGTAGATGTAAATGTAGATGTAATAGATGTAGATGTGAAAGTACTAGATGTCGAGGTAGATGTAGATGTAGTAGCAGTTGTTGTCGTAGTCGTTGTCGTGGTGGTAACAGAAGAAGTGTAGTGGTAGTAGTAGCAGTAATAGTAGCAGCAGCAGCGGCAGTAGTACCAGGAGCACTGGCAGTAGCAGTAGAAGCAGCAGCAGCAACAGCAGCAAAGACAGGCAGAGGGAGGCAGGCAGACAGACACATAGACACACAGAGACACAGAGAGAAACAGAGATACGCAGACACGCAGACACACAGACAGGCAGACAGGCGGACAGACAGCAGACAGCATTATGAACCTACAATGTTGCACACCGAAAGGTAGCCAGACCTGCACGTGTTTTGTGGATGTGCTCGGACCTTGACTTAGGGTGTAGTGCCTTGTCCAAGCAGGGATAGGTTGAACACAATGCTGGGCTGTCTGCAGGTGGACCTCTCGCTTCTTACAGGCACGCTGAACGAGCATCTGCTGTGCAGTTTAAGAGGCTGTAGGGTTTAGCTTAGCATCTGAGTTTTGGAGATGCTTCGCTGGAGAGTGCTGCGAAAGATCCTTCCGACGACATGGCCACCCTGTTCTGCAGGAACACAAGCGCACAAGAGTAAAACATAGTAACGCCAAGCAGGGGAGTGAGACAGACCACCATCGCAAAGCAAACAAGTTGACAAGGCGCAGCATGCCTGCAAAAACAGGTGTGCATGTATGCATGTATGTATGTACGTCGGCAGATAGGCAGGTAGGTAGGTAGGTCCGCCATCTCTTCAGACATGTGAGGGTGCGGGACATGTTGCTGTTCCAAAGTTCGCGCAGACATGTGAGGCGGTTTTGTCGACAGATGAAAATCCTGGCTGCAGTCTGTGCTGGCAAATCTCAATGATCCGAACCCCAGACCTTTTGAGCCCCTCCAATCCGACGCTGTGTCGCAAATCCCCAGTACTTCAGTGCTACAGCCTCTAGCCGACAGCTCACGTCTGCGAGGGCAGGGTCCGGCATATGCCAGCGTCTTCGTCCAGGACGAGGATGCTCAGGCCAGGTTCAGGGTTGCGGACGCTGGCTTCGGTTATAAGGTTTGGGGTACCAGGTCTCTTGATCTTGGGTTGGTGCTCAGCTACACCATGGGGCCTCGGATTTTGGCAGCAGCTTTGAGGGTTCTTGATACTTGAGGTCGGAACCCTCGTGTGGACCCAGTTCCGCTGCAGGATGAAGAGATGGAGATCAGACGGATGCACGAGCTGGTAGAACAGACCACGCAGGTGCTCCAGCAGGCGGGACGGCTCAAGCTGTCAAGGCTCCGTCTAAGGATCTTTCACCCTAGACCAAGGGCTGAAACCTAGAAAAGCCTCAACGTTTACCAAGTGGGCACTTGAAGGCATAGTCCTTGGCATCCTTAGGCAGCATCGCAAGACATTGTAGAGCAAAGGGTCACCAGCATGCCTCAGAGGCCACGCAGGAGTCTAGCCAGCCGGCCATTTGATGTCCTTTAGCCTTCCTTTTGTTGTTGCTCGCGTCTACTGGCTTCGAACCCAGTTCGCTGAGGCGCGCAACGAGCTCATTGCGCTAAACCAGCGTCAGAGATCGGAGAGCTCGGGTACCAACACAGAGGCTGGAGTTTGTCAGGTTTAGATTTTGAGGTCGCAACGTTGCATACAGCCATAGCAAGGCTGCACAGAGCTGGGGAGGATTCCGACAAATCCCCCGATCCCGAAGATGCTTTGGCCACTGCATGAGACATCTCTGTTGAACGTCAGCCGTGTGCTCAGCCGCTCAGCCTCTGGCCAGGCAAAAGCCAAGAAGAAGGAGACGGCCGCTTGCAAGGCGGACTTGACAGACGGTTTTGCCTTAGTTGGTTTCGGTTGCAACCTCGAAGGGCACAGCTCCAGCATCCAACCCAACCTCCGCAAGGCCCTCGCACGAGGAACCTGAGAAGTGTGATAAGCCTTTCTAAAGCTCTATGTAGACCTTCAACTGTCAGGCATTGCTTGTGTAAGGGCTTCGCAGTTGCTGTGTTTTCCCAAACTCGCGCCTTTGCTGCCAGCACATCGACCAGCTCCTTTGGAAAGCAGAAGTGGATTTGGAAAATGTCGAGGACATGTACCTGAGGCTCGCAAGGGTGCCTTGCGAAGGGAGGGCGACAACATCCTTCACGATCCTAGTGTGAGCTTAGAGTTCTGAGTCGTGCAAGCACCCTTTGCTGCAAGACATCCGAAGGTAACGTTACAGATGCTGGGCGGCTTTGGTTTGGAACGGGCCGGGTGTTGTTTGTTAGGTTTTAGGGTCCGTCCCTTGCGTAGGTTGTAGGGGGGCTTCTGGTGAGTCCCGATCGCAAGCTTGCTGTGTCACAGCCTGAGGTGGGACAGATGCACACAGCCCTAGACTCAACCTTAGTTCTCAAGCCTCGAACCTTAAACGGTAAGCAGGCACATCGACAATCAGAAGGACACGTACTCGCTGGGTCAACCCGACGAGATGTTGACCTGCAGTCTAGGTCCAGGTTTTGGTGAATCGCGCCGCCATGCAGGATGCAGTATAACCACCGAGTTTATATAATTCGATAGTCAAGACGTCCTTGTATATGATTTTGCAAGGAAGAATAGTAATAATGCGCTGGATATCGAGCTAGGCGAGTAGTGTGCTCTCGGCCAGCTCCATTCAATTTCCGCCGCCTTTGCCGCCAGCCGACTTCAATCAGACGGTCTCCCGCACGATCTCTGATCTCGAGGACACCGGAGGGCTTTCTGAGTGCTTTGCCACTCAGGGTTGCGGCACGGCGAGTTGCGGAAGCATGGTCAAGCTCTGCAGATGTGTTGTTTTGGCTCGGTTCTGCTTGTTTGGCGTGATCGGTTTTTCTGGCGGTCGTTCGTTCTGCAAAAAGTGCTTGGGTCGGGGGCGGGACGGGGGGGACGCGCTTGGGGGGCGCAGGGTGCTCTGAGTTGGCCCGCCAAAGGCACTCCTGACAGCGAGTGAAGGGCCAGAGTGGTGCGATGCAACCTAATGCTCAGCGAAAGCAGGGCAGGACCCGGAGAATTGAGGTTCATCTTCGTAAAGCTCAGCCCGCGGCCAGGAGAGCTTGAATACTCAGCTCGACTCGATCAAGTCCTACTTCTTCAGGCGACTGACTGCTAAGACATAAGTGCCAGATGTTGAGCTGCAGCAGTTCAGTTAGGGTGTGGAGGTTCTCCTGTCCCGAGCGCCCGTTCCGGCACACATGGACCGAACAGGTGAGACTTGCAAAGTGGTGCCGCGGGGAGCAGAGACTGCCCGTGCCCCACCTCGCCCGACATGATCATTACTTCATATCCGCTCTCAGGATTTGTGCCGATGTTGTTGATGATAATGATGTTGTTGTTGATGATGTGGATCCGCAGTATTGAACTGTCTACAGTGCAATTCGTCATGGCTGTGATGGTGGTGGCTGTGGTGTCAGCGGTCACGTCGGCGGTTTCTGCGCTCGTGTGCCAGGTGTCGTCGCGTGTGTAAGAGGGGCGCAAGGTGCAGTCTCTTTCAGCAAGGCTTTCCTGATCATCCCAGTTGTGTTGGGGTTTGGGGTTCCATACAGTGAAGCTTCAGCAGCGCACCACCGAACCTTAAGCCTGCAATCTTAAGTCTGAAATCTGAAAATCCTGGGTTCTTTTAGGGTCACAGCGTGTGAGATTTTAGCCCCCTGCAAAGACCGAGGCCCCGCACTTCGGGGGTTTTTAGCAGGACCGAGCCCTGAATCGTGGGACGCCCAAAAGGGGCGCGCGAGTGCGCATGAGAGAAGGGTTTAGGGTTAGTAGCTAGAATTTCCGGCGATGCTGGTTGCGGAGTTTCGGGGAGCCGCACATGCGCTGGGGTCAGGGGTAGCATGATGCTAAAGGCTACAACTTATAGCTTATGTTGTTGTAATATCTCCCGCCGCAAGCTTGGTTAAGGAAGCTCCAATGTATCTTGTCATCAGGCTTCTTGGACGTGTAGAACGTGACATCGCAAGCAACACAGCCGATGTCAGAGCGCCTGCTCTTGCCAAATTGCCAAATCCATTCGGAAAGCAAGACCACTTCATTTATGCATCCTTGCACCTGCTACGACTTCTGCAAATACTCGTGCTGCTGCTGGCTGCCGGTGCTGCTGCTGCTGCTGCTGCTATTATGATTGCTATTCCTGCAGTGGTTACTGGCGGCTGCTGCTGCTGCTGCTGCTGCTGCTGCTGCTTCGATGACGACTACTACTGCACCACTACTATTACTACTACTACTACTACTACTATTACTACTTCTGCTTCTACTACTTCTACTACTACTACCACTACTACTACTACTACAACAACTACAACAACTACTACTACTACTACTACTACTACTACTACTACTACTACTACTTCTACTACTTCTACTACTACTACTACTACTACTACGATTACTACTAGTACTAGTACTAGTACTAGTACTAGTACTAGTACTAGTACTAGTACTAGTACTAGTACTAGTACTAGTACTAGTACTAGTACTAGTACTAGCACTACTACTAGCACTACTACTAGGACTAGCACTACTACTAGGACTAGCACTACTACTAGGACTAGCACTACTACTAGCACTACTACTACTACTACTACTACTACTACTACTACTACTACTACTACTACTACTACTACTACTACTACTGCTACTGCTACTGCTACTACTACTACTACTACTACTACTACTACTACCAGTCTTGCCCGAAGATCGGCTCTAAATCCCGTGCACACTCGACAGCATCAACGATTAATTACTTCTCCTTTTACATCAACATCTACAACAACAACTTCTACTACTTCGACGGCGACGACGACGACGACGACGACTACTACTACTACTACTACTACTTCTCCGACTCTCCTACTCTCCTACTCTCAAAATCTCTCCTACTCCCCTACTCTCCTACTCTCGTCCTCCTGCGCCTGCCGCTGCCGCTGCCACTGCACTGCTACTGCCACTGCTACTGCGACTACTTCTGCTGCTGCTGCTGCTGCTGCTGCTGACAGCTGCTGCTGCTACTAATGCTGGTGATTTTTCTCCTGGCGCATCCATCCCTATTTGTTTAACTGCCGATCGTGAGTCCTCCTTTTACGGGTATTTCTTGGTGTTATTCTTCTGCTGGTTTCTTATCTCTGGTAGCATGACATGTTGGTCCATTTTCGACGGGCTAATGCACTTGTAGCCTGCATGGTTTCGTAAGATGCAGGAGTTTTCAGTACAGTGCAGCACCCACACAGACAGACACAATACGCCGGTCGTGAAGGGTTGATGCCCGGCACCGGCAGCACGTTGCTGACCAGAAAGATGGCAGTTTCTCTCGAGAGTGCTTCCGATTTGAGTTCTGAGTATGCCACAAAATGTCATTTGGAGTTTTGTTTGGCCATCCTGTTGTGGCAGTGGGTAGTTTCAGGCATTATCAGGCCGCAAGCCTTTGGTGGTACGCTTGCATCGGAGCTCCGGTGAAGGTGAAGGGAGATTAGCCGGGAGCCTAGGAGCCCTGGTGGGGTGGGGGATACGTACGAGAAACTGCCAAGAGAAACTGCCACGTCCGTTAGAACTGGTGACGAGGATCAGTTGTGCGCCCGCGACCGCAACAAGCTTTTTGCTGTGAATGCTTCAAGCCCCTGCAAACCACAAGTGGATTTGCAGCCAGGTCTCCACGCTTGGGGTTTGGGGCTCGTATTTTGCTTTTGCTTGGCAGCCCGGCACGCACGGTATCGAACTACAACAAAGCCATCACCATCATCGACGCCGTCGCCGTCACCGTCGCTATCGCCATCGTCATCACAGTCGTATCATCATTATCTGCTTCCTCTGTCGCAGACTACGAATCGGAATACAGCTGCAGGGTTTTACGCTCACCATGCGGATTGTGTACATATCGTCATAGCAGTTCTTACTGCTTCTTGGGTTGCTGCTCTGACCGCGATTGTTACGCCTTTCACGATCACCATCCGAGCTAAGGGGTTAGGTTGGATCCTTGGTGGCATGAACGAGTGCCGGCTTCTGAACAGCTTTATGGTCGATTCCAGGTTTGGCTGTTCGTGCTTAGTTTGCAGTTTGTCACTGTGATCCAACCAATGATTGCGAAGACTCAACTGGTTCATTCCACCAAGTATCCCGAGAAATCCGCAACCTCCTCCACAAGCCTGACATCCACATCCGAAATCCTACCCATAAGACGTCCGGACATCAAATCCTCTCACTACGCTTTCTTTCGCGGCCGGTTTGGCTCCTTCTTTCTGGGGCCAGCAGCTTCACGGGGAGTGCCGGCCTAAGCGCGGCAAGCTGGATGTTCGGAGTTTGGAGCACAACAGGTACTTTGGCCCTTCCTCCCCTTCCTTCTCCTGCTACTACTGCTAGCATCCCGGGAAACAGATACGCCTTGTACACACTGAAACCTGTTTGGCTTATCTTGTTTTCAAAAACACACAGCAAACCAATTTTTTCAACAACCACGAGAAGGGACATTTTGATTCCTGGGTGTTTAGACGGAGGTAAGTGTTGTGCTTCTCTGGCGGGAGCATGCATGCATCCAGGAGGCTTGCATAAACGGGGCTAGGAGACGTGAAATTTTGTAGAGTCGGGAACTGTTGTAGGGTCAAGCAACACCAAACGAAATCCCATAAGCCCTGTGTCCGTGGTCCCTGCCCGACTCAGGCGGTGCAGCCCTGACGTGCCTTGCCTAAAGGGAGCTGGGATCTAAACGATAACGAGAGCACGAAGGAGTTTGCAGGCCCAGGTGTTCTTCCTAATGTTCCGGCTTTGGGGGCTTGGGCCTTCGGATTTCTGGGTACATGGGTCAGTGGATGATTGACAGGCAGCTGAACCGTGTGAACTTGCCTGCTCTGCGGATGAGGTGGAGCTCGGGAAGGCTTGCTTTGCTTCCGGCTTGGAACAGTCAGACATTCCCAAGGCAACCAACACTGACTGGACCAATTAATGAGCTGCATGAGCCCCAGCATTGAAACCTAAGCCGTTAAGCCAAAATGAGATCGTCAGTCTTCTAGCTGCAGACCTTGGCGCTCAGGCAGCAGTTGAGGCACCGCGTCTAAGCCATGCCCGGCGCTTGGTGGTTCGAGAGCTATGGGCCGCTGAAAGTACATGATGATGAGGCAAAAGCGTGGACTATGAATACTCGGTGTAAAGCAGTGTGTTGCTTTCGAATCACACATCAACTGCATGGTGTGATGTGTATATATGTAATGTGAGTCATGCAACCACAACCTAGCCTTCGGTATTTAGGCTCGTTGTTGTCTAAACCTGTCTCATAGCGAAACCCATTACCCCATTCTCCCTCCGTAACCTGAGCTGGACACAGTGCTTTGGAAGGCCGGCCTCGGATTTAGAAGCAGACGTCCTAAAGCAGAAATACGGCAACAGGCAACTGACTTATGTGGTAGGCCTTAGCCTTAGCCGCAATGCGGATCGAACTCCCACGTACCCCTGGCTTGTGTGTCAAAAGAACCTCGAATGTTTCCGCGACTTGGAGTATTGAAGCTGCGGCTCGTGCAGACCTCATGGCCAGAATACCTTCCCAATGTAATGCGCTCAAGTACCGTGGCATCTCGAGTCCGAGGACACTAAACGTGAGCTTCAAACTCTCCGGGTCCGGTGGGACCACGTGGTGTGCTTGGTGTCGTGCACTTCAGCCGTGCAGCGCATTTGGTGGTTCGGATTTTGAGCCTTTGGCAGCCTTTCAGCTTGTTTGAGGCTCAAGAACTTCTCTCAGCTGAAGAGACGAAACATCCAGTACCCCCGCCCCGGCATACCCACACTGCAGCATTCAGAACACTCAAAAGAACGGAACGCCCTGAAGCCCTTGAGCAGTCAGAGGTTCTCGTTGGACCTCGAGCCTTCGATGACGGTGAAGGACACTTTGGGGACGTGGCTAATTAGCCAAGATTGTGCTCTCAGGCCTTGGTGGTGCTTATCATCAGTGCTCTTTCAATTTTCGCTTCTATTATATGGAATACGATTTTGATAATTGAACAGCTCGTTGGTCCTTCGACTATGTTTTTGCTCGTTGCGATTCGGTTTTCATTCATAGGATCTTCTAAAGATTGTAAAGCTGATGGCTTGATTGCAAGGGGATTGGCGATAAATGTGAGTGTCGCTTGATGTGGTGCGCGATATGATTGTGAGCCTCTTGATTGTTGGCGCTTGAGTATTCGGCCGTATGCTAGCACATATGCAGCCCGTGAATATGCCGTGCAGAAACCTAGTCCGGCTGCCATGGCAGGAATCACTCAAACATCGGAGGATTCTGTGTTGCGATCGATTGTTAATGCTTTTCGAAAAGTTGATCACAAGACGAAGACCCGTACTAATACTGTACTATTATTATGATTATTTGTATTCTCATCATCATGATCGTTGCCATCACGGCTGTGGGCGCCAATGGTACCTCCGAGGGCCAGTGCCGATGGCCAACTGAGAGATCTAACCGCGCTCGCAGCACGCGAGAAACATTGCCCGAACTGATCGCCTGACCTAACGTTCTCCTCAATGTGGCATTTGTTCTGTCTATGTCCAGGAGCGCGCGTTTATCCGAAGCTTGGAACTTTTCAGCTGCAATGTCTTGGCCTTGGATCCTCGGCAGGATGTGAAAGAGAAGGCGAAGGCAGAGCCGGGACCTTGGCAGAAAGGCTTGCTGCAGGCGTCTACAGCGATACTGAATGTGTTTGTGACGGCAGTAGTGGTAGCAGTGGCAGTAGCAGTAGCAGTCGTAGCAGGATGAGTAGCCCTAGCACTACACTGATACGACTACCTTTGATTTCGTCATCATATTCATCATCATTGTCATCATGGTGTTTCCGACTCAGGCGATGGGGCATTGGCTGAGATTGAAAAGCCGTAGCCGTGCAATCTCCACGTTGGATTTTGCCGCATGGCTCACGTAGGTTGAAGCACGAACAGACTTTTTGGTAGCACCCCAGGCTGCTTCCCCGCCCCTTTGGCTCTCAGGTGTGGCATCGAGCCAGACTCCATGAAGCTCATTTTCAAGGGGCCTCGCACCGAGCATAGCAGCATAGCAGAGCTGCAGCTTGGAAAGGCTTCGCCCTGGTGCCCTGCAGGGCCAAGGCTTTAACTTTTAAGCCTAGCGGTGTTCCCCCTCCGCCCTTCATTCACTACCGGGCTTGTGCACCATGAAGCCTCCAACCCCGAAGTGTCGCGTCAAGCCTAAATGAGAGCACGAAGGCGCATCCTCAAGGACGCGGACACGTTGGAGTCGCAGAAGGCATGGCCGGCTGTTTGTCTTTCCTTTCACTGGAGTTTGGAAAGGCCACGTAAAACACCAGTCGGAATCATCACTCTGGAGGATCGTGATTTGCAAAGTTTCGTCGAGGCAACCTGTTGGGTCTTCGGGCCCGAGGTTCTCTTGGGTAGCACCAGACGACAATGCTTCCACTTGCTCCCGGAGAGCCCTTGCCGTGCAGGCCAGAGACAATCAGTATCTCGTAAACATGGGCCTCAGTGAGCACATAGGGTCACGCGGCGTGTCCGAATCATAGGACTTTCTCTGTCCTCATTCTTGAGAACCTAAACTTGGTCGAGGTCGAGAGTGGCAACACGATGCACGTCGTGAAGTCCCAGCCATCTGCTGGCGGTGCAGCCGCCACGCGACGCCCTCAGCCGCTTGCGGAGACAGGTGGTTGGAGCGGTTTGGTCAGTGTTCGGAGTTTGGCGTAGTTGGATCTTCTGCGCTGCCCACATGGTCGCCGCGGTGTCGCAGCTGTACATACGAAAGCTGCAACAGCATTCGTAGGGTGAACGACAGAAGATATATTAGCCCGATTGACCAGTTTCGTCTCCGTAGCTATTCGGCACGCCAGCAAACACAATGACAGCCACGCGTCTGACGGTACCGCATCCCCCGCCCTACGTGAGGCCTGCTGCTGCCACAACTCCGGCCGCAGCTCCCACTGCGCCTTCCGCCACCCCTGTGTCGACCTTAATCATTCTGCGCCACCATGCCTGTTGGAGTTTGGTGTGATAGTTATAGCCAAAAGGCAAAGGTCATCTCCTTGCCTCGATGACGGTAGTGGTGATGATTCGGTGCTGATGTTGAGTAATTACTGTCACTACGTTCCTGATAGTACCGCTGGCGTGATCAGAGCAGTGATGGGAGTTCCTGCATGTTCCTGCGTCTAACGTAGACTCATCCCGCAAGCTGTCGCGCGAGCCACTCGAAGGCGAAGCATTCGCTGTGCATATCTTGAGCTGGAACATATTGGGTCCTGCATGTTGACAATGTGCTTCTGTATACCCAAGCCTCATCTGTATCAATGTGCTCCTAGGCGGCCACACCAGGCGCGACGCCCGACCCCCTCGCAGCCATGGCGGGTCGGGAGCTGACGGGGGTTATCGGCATAGTGCAGTTGCGCAAAGAGTGTCCGGAGCATTTTGTTTCTTCCATGGTGCCCCGACTTGCAAAGCGATCCAGTTCTTGTAGCGAGTGAGCAGCGAGTGGATGTCATCCTCCCTCAGCCCCGACCGATGGACAGGATTTGCCAGAACCATGAAGGTCTCCTGCGCACTTCGATCTCCGAACGGGAAGTTGCGGTGAAGGAAGAACCGTCGGTAGAAGTCCGAGAGGAAGGGTGGCAGGGATCGGGTCTCAATCCTAAAAGCAGCGTCTCTTGTTGAGCCAAGGCCTGGGGGCGGCTAAGCTGCAGATCAGTGCCAGCTGTGGCTTCGAGACTCCCTCTGGTTTTGCAGTCTGCTTCAGGGCATAGCGATGCTGAGGCTGATAATGATGATGATGACGATGCAGATGATGGCGAGGGTGGTGGTTCTTCTGCTGCTGCTGTTGATGATGAAGATGTTGATTGCAGCGATGATGACCCAGACTATGGACATGACCACCTTCAATGTCGGCCGGGCTCTCCTGATCTTGAAATTTCCGGTGTTCGAAGTTCAATTGGCCTGATGTGCGATCAATACAAATTGAAAAACCTGCGCTTGTACAACTTGTGCAGGCCTGTGGTGCAAACTTTTCTTCTGTGTTGGTCGTGCCTCGAGAAACATAAGGCCCCATGCAAGTGTTCTTTTCGCTGACCCCCCTCAAAGCACAAACCACACCATACACAAGCATGCATCCTTATGTAGATGCACATACACATCCATCCATCCATCCATCCATCCATCCATCCATCCATCCATCCATCCATCCATCCACGCATCCACGCATGCACGCATGTATGCATGTATGCATACATACATGCATGCATAGATAGATACATACATGCTGGTACACGTGCATGCCTCCCGACACATCGCGAGTCTCCAAACCCGTACCTCAGGCCTAAACTGCTGAGCAATTGCGAAATTGCCAGAGCTTCAAGCCGTAAGCCTTTCGCCAAAGGCTGGCGGAGCTGGCAACCCAATGGCTGCCATGATGAACGATCCTGCCGCCATGCAGGACGAGAGAGGGTCTGATCGTTTCTTGTTTCGCTGGGTTTGCGTCTTCCGGATTCTGGAATGAAAGCAGGAAAACATCGTAATTTCCGGTTCCTTATACAAGCTTCAGCAGTCTGGCTGGAGGCAGCGATGCAGATGATGGGCGGCATGGGCGGAATGGGCGGCATGGGAGGCTTGGAGCCTAAACCTTCTCAGCCTATTCCTCATCGTCCTCGTGTTCCTGGCGCTCGTCGTTGTCGCCGCCGTCGTCGTGACCAGCTACAGCTCAGCAGCAGTAGCGGCACCAGCAGCAGCAGCAGCAGGAGCAGCAACACTACTAGCAATAGCGACAGCAACAACGGCCACAGCAGCACCAGCACCAGCACCAGCACCAGCACCAGCACCAGCACCAGCACCAGCACCAGCACCAGCACCAGCACCAGCACCAGCACCAGCACCAGCACCAGCACCAGCACCAGCACCAGCACCAGCAGCAGCACCAGCAGCAACAGCAGCAGCAACCACAACAACAACGGCAATGATAACTTCAGCGTCTGTGTTCCCAAGTCTCCGGGGAAATCCCAGCGATCGATGTGCCAGGCCCTCAAGACTCAAAACCCTGTGGACCATTCCAGGCCCTGGCTATGGGGCCGGCGCAACGCCGGGCGCCACCCCCGGCGCAACTCCTGGGGCTGGAGGTGGGTTCAAGTTACGCGTCTCTGGTTTTGCGACACCTGTGGAGCTTGCGCGGTTCTAGTTCGACAGGATCAGCCTTTGGGGCGATGCATGTGATGGGGCCCAACAGACTTGTTGGAGTCTTCGGAAGTGGGCCCCAGGTCACAAACTAAATCCAGCTTGCTGGGTCCCGAACGTCCAGACAATCTTGACCTGTGGTCCTTAGATGTATCTTGAGCCCCTGCCAATGCAAAGACCGGGAGAAGGCTTCTGGCTACAGGGTTCCTGAGTTTCGGACTCTTGGAAGAAGCCGCCACGGACAGAGATCGTGCACGCTCTCAAGTTCAGCCCCTGAGCATCTGAGCATTCTCCGTTTCGGTTTCCAGAGCACCGAGCTGAAGAACCTTGCGTGGCTAGACCCGTTTAGGCTTGTAAATTGCAAAGCGGCAAAGCCCTATCCCACTACCACTCGGTTGAGAACCTGCCAGAGATGCGGTTTGGTAGGCATGCCTGGCCTTGGGGGCCTGGGTGGCATGGGCGGAATGGGTGGCATGGACCCGAACATGGTCCGGGGGCCTGACGTGATGTGGAGAGCTTGCAGCCTCCACTCTTGAAGTCTTGAGGCATGCGCTTGTCGTTGCTTTCATGGAACAAGGACCCCAGCATACTGCTGCGTCTAGACGCTTCGCTTTTTGCAACTAAAACAATCTTGACAAGAGACATATTCAAGAATAATTGCGTTCTGTAGCCTTTCGTGGCGAAAAGCGCTAGGCCTCCTCATCCCAACTTTCGTCTATTGGCGACATGGCGCTCGAATTTCGTCTCGTGTCTGTGATCTTGCTCAGCATATTCAGTGTCCGAGCCTCGACCTTGGATTCTTTGGAGATTGATGGAGAATGTGATGGCGATGCTTCCTGCGCCCTCAATGCTATGCAGGTCAGGGGAACTGCAGTCCGAAGCGACACGGAGGAGAAAGTCTCTGCCAAGAGCGGGTGGTGTGACCCCGGCTTGAGGCTGGGTCCACGTGGCTACTGCTATAAGAACCGGTGTGCAGGAGCAAAAGCTGTCATGTGGACGATGAAGGCTTGCAGTGCTTACAACCGCTGTGTGATCCACTTGGAGGAGGAGGCCAAAGTCCATGAGGCAGGCTCGCACTTGGACGCTGATGAGGCCGAGGCCAACGTTGTCAAGGCCGAGGATGGAACGTTGCAATGCCCGCCTGGTTTCCCATACTATGAAGGTGGGCGCTGCTTCCGGAACCTATGTTCCAGCAATTATGCTGACATCTACACGATGGCCACCAACTGCAGGTTTTACACATACTGTGTTAGTGGCTGAAACACATGACGGCGAAAGCGCAGCTATGGGCCAGTTGGACGAAAAACCACAGGTGTGCAAACATGCTTGTAGCACGTAGCCCACTAAGCTGCAGTCCGTCTACTTGCGTAAGCGGCTCTGAGCGGGGACTGCAGCGTACTGGGAGCTCTGTTAGCATGTGAGATGCCGAGGTTGCAAATATGCTGCAAAACCCAATGGTCCAGCAGATGATGACGAACCTTGCCGCTCGTTTTGCCACAGTCAGTGCGGGGTTTGAGTCGGAGAACAGGGTCGAGGTTATCTGGACTGTCGGCGCGAAATCCCGAACCGTCATGAGCACCTTCCCAAGCCGATATCAGGCGAACAACCCGCAGATGATGCAACAGATGGTTCAGAGCAACCCAATGCTGCAGGCCGTAGTGGGAGATTGGAACATAAGGGGCAACTTCAAAGCCATTCTTTTGCTGTGTATGATGGAGCACTGCATCTAGCTGTTTCTGATTATGCGTTGCACCCCTGAGCAGGCTATAGTGCTGTCGTTGTCCTCATTTCTACTGTACCCTGCACGGAATAAAGTCCCAGTCCACCGGTCCTATCCCATGGTGCTTATCGGGGGTTAAGAACAAAGTGGATAATTTACCACGACATCGGCAGATAGAGCAAAGATACGCTAAGCTAGCTGTGGTTTTTGGGTAGCATTGCGCATGCCATGCCAAACTTGTCATGGTTCAATTTGTGACCTCTGCCGTTTTTCCGGTTCCGGTCCAGTCCTCCACCATGTGGCTATCGATGGGAGCGAGTCACAGATCTTAGCTTGTAAGACAAGCCTCCGCCAGGCTCTAGCTGAAAACAGAAGACACACAGCACTAAGCCTAGGACACCTCTGTGCCTATGCGAGCAAACGACTGTAGGCTTGCGAGAGTTTGTACGGTGACGCTGCTCCGCTGACTCTGTAAATGTATCGTACTCTGTGGCAAAGCGTCCATCGAATGTGGTCCATTTACTGTATGATTTATGATGTTCTACATGGCTACCCTTGGATGCGTCTCAAAACACTTTTATTGACGGTGTCAGGTACGATAGCAAACTACGAGTACAAGTTCAGGTACGATAGCGAAGTACGATTACAAGATCTGGTAGGATAGCCAGATAAGACCAACTACAGGGTTCAGACGGCCATTGCGAAACTGTGCCGGCCGCTTTCTTGCAATGCTATTAATTGGGTCGACGGAACCCATGTCCAGGTCATGACGACTAACCGCTAAAGTTCTGCTCTCCAGGTCGTAGGCTCGTAGGCGTCAAGTCGGGGTTTGGGACACCTGTGCCCGTCCAAGGCCACAGCCCCTTCATGAGGTTTTTGAGATTCTGAAATCCTCTAGACTGTTGCCGATACCCTTTGAAACTGCGTCCTAACTTGAACTCCCAAGCCTAAATAAAGTCCCAAGCTTTTCTCAACTGCTTCGCGGTCCTAAACCCGGAAGAGGGCAACGCTGAGTGTTGTTTACAAGGTAGGTTGCAGGGATGAAAGCAGCTAGGTAAGGTAGAATGTGGGTAGGCAGGAAGGTAATGAGGCAGCCACATTCTCATGACCATGAGTGTGGCAGGGGCCCGGATCGTAGTTTGGGTAGTATCTCCGAGTCCGCGACCGGCCCTGCATCGTATCTGCAAATCGTACTTTGGGTCCGCGGCCCGCCCTGGATCGTATCTCCGAATCGTACTTTTGCCTGGGTTTTTTACGATCGGCGACCCGGCCCCGGACCCAAAGCACGATCTGGGCCAAAGGGCTTCTGCCTTGTTCGGGGTGGGGTGGGGTGGTGGGCTGGGGTGGAGTGGGGTGTGGGGTGGGGTGGGGTGGGGTCGGGGGGTTGTCGCAAGACCACCCTTGTGAGTAGCGTCTTTTTCATGGCTCCGAAACGCGTTCCTTTGTTGCGTTTTTTCATGGCTCCGAAACGTATTCCCGCCCCCTAGGTTCCGCGACCATGTGGTTATGCGCATCTGAACATTCATTACTATGCCACAATCCGTACTTTGCGATCGGACTTTGGATGACACCTCTGCCGGAACATACCATGAACCGTAGGTTGAGATCGTACCTTGGATCGTACTGTATCTTGGAATCGTATTTAAAATTTAGATCGTACATGAACCCATAAAAATAACTATTCTACGGTACTACAAGAGTAGCTAGGAATCGAACATCATAACGGTACATGTCTGTGGCTTGGATCATGTTGAGACAGTAACTCGGTCGGAACCCACCGCAACACCCCTGTGCAGCAACTGATGCAGCGAGATCCGATGATGGCCCAGGCTGTGCGGGCATCATGTTGGCAGCTTTGATTTCAGATTTTGGGTTCCGGAGTTTCGGAGCTGCATAGTCTTGGCAGTTGGGTTATTGTGGTTCTCACGCTTTCTGGCTTGCCAGCATTGCAAGCATCCCAGGTGTCTTGTGTCTGATCTCCGTGGTATCCTGACTTCCGCCCCCAAGCAGTGCTAAAGTTTTAGGCCTGGGCTCCTCCACCACCTCCACAGATGTCACTCGATGCGTGGGACCATCGCAGAGGGCTGGTGCCACCAACCAGAGGAAGCGGCGCCCTCTTAACGTCACGTGGGCCCCGATTCCCAGAATGTGGTCAGTTAAACCCTGGAAGCACTAGGTCACTAGGTCGACAAACAGCGAAACTGAATCCCAAGTCCCCCATCCCTCGCTGCAGATGATGAGCAATCCAGAGGCCAGGACCGCCGCAGGAATGCCTTGAACCAGCCTACCGCAGCGTGCGTTGTTTTGTTGATTTGAGCACGTTTAGGGTAGCATTCACACTGCTGCAATCAGTCGTGTTAGCAGCCATGTACTGTATGTCCATTCAGTGTTTCATGAGTGTTTATATCTGACGCAACCGTAGCCGCGTGGGTGTGTGCGTGAATGAGACGGTGTATGTATGTATTTACGTATGTATGTATGTATGTATGTATGTATGTCTGTATGTGTGTATGTAAGACTATGTATGTGCTTTCGTACGTGTTTATGTATGTGCTAATGTATGTATGAATGTAGGAGTGTACATATGTACATACATGGGTCTGTGTGTGTCTGTCTGTCTGTCTGTTTGTCTGTGTGTGGAGGGTCGGCGGGGTCGGCATTGGGTGGGTGGGCCGGTGGGTCTGTGTGTAGGCGGGTCGGTTGGTGGGTGGTGGTCCGGTGGGTCGGTAGGTCGATGGCATGGGGTGGATAGGGAGGTACGTGGGTAGGTAGGTACGCACATGCATGTTAGTATATATATATATATATACACACACACGCACGCAAAAATCAATACATACATCCATACATACATACATACATGCATACATGCATACACACACATACGCACATACACACATACACACACATACATACATCCACACATACACAATCATATTCACACATACACACATACATGCATACATGCATACGTGCATACAGGCATACGCACGCACATCTCTCTCTCTGGCAGCGTTCACATGAGGTCATGTAAGCTGAGTCAGGGCCGCGCGTTTGCCGCCCAACCTGTCTAGGACTGTTGCCTTGACAGTACACATCGCGCTCTCTCGGTGAATCCAAGAGGGCACGGGCTCAATAGTAACAAGGCTTGCCCCTCACCCGTCAAAAATGATGCTAGTCATCATGAGCGAAACGGGGCCGAACCCGTCACAAGAGCATCAGGACTACTTCACACGACAATGCCATCATCACTTAAGCATGTCATTGAGTTGCTCGAGATACGTCTGCATGTCTCGCTCGAGGCCCCCCTTCGGAGCTTGGCCATGAAGAGTTTTACCACCCTTCTCATGCAAACATTTCTCCAGGATGGACATAACAGGCCGGACATCCTCGCTAACCGCGATGCACACCTTCATCTTGGACTGGTCGAAGCATTTCTTGACGCGGCAAACGTGAACCACGGTGGCCACCATTGCTGGACTGCCACAATAATCCTGTACATGCTTTTGCACTGCTTCCCGCTCCGCGGTTGTAACGGAATTTTGTTGCAACAGCGTCTCAAGCATCGCAATCCATGCGACGCACGCACATACACACATACACCCATTTTTTCGATTCATTCTCTGCGGTAGTCTCAGAATCTGACGCTCGCCTAGCAAAAACGAATTCCGGGTGAAACACTCGCCGAAAAGAGGTGGCGGTCCCCTCGAGATAAGAATCCGCAGACTTCCCGATGACAACCGTGATTGCGCTAGGCACACAGTCTACAAGTCCAATGGAAGGCGGATTGAAACTTAGCAGAAGTTCGCTGCTCCATGAGCTACCGCGAAAGCAGTATGAAAAAATGTGCCGCCAAGATATGGCTGAAAGCATCATGTGGCCTTGACGTTGTTGACGCAGCTTGATGTCTCACTTTTCCGCATGAAGCTTCCGAGAGCGCTCTCACGTCGGCAATTGAGGAAGCCTCAACGTTTAAGGTGGGGGTCTTGCCGGTCAGCATCATCATGAGGAACTGCAGGCCACCAAGCAAGCAAACTGGAGACGTGCGGTCGTCCTCGAAGGTCTTGTCCACAAAGAAGAGTTGTTGCTGATGGGGTGGAAAGCTCACTACGTCATGGATCGCCGCCTTCAACTTGTCCGGCGCAGCAAGCTTGCCCGCACAGGTGAGGCGCTGCCGATGTTTCAACAAAGTACAATTCGCAGACAGGGGTCCACGGAGAATCAGCGTGGCGTGGTCAATCGCCACCTGGGTATCACCTTGGTGGAGGATGATGTCGACATAGGTCTGTCTGCAGCCACGTAGCCACCTCACCACGCATGGCCCCGGCTCAACCTTCAGATTCGAAGGCCTTGTTTGCCAAGTCCAAACCATAGTGCAGCATCCACAGAAAGGGACGTGCCGAAAGCACAATCTCCATGTGCTTTTGTTTTGTCCGAGGCCGAGTCGCAAACCATAGCATCCACAGAGGGGGAGGTACCGAAAGCACAATCTCCATCACCGATCGTCTTGTCCGAGGCCATCCTGCTGAATGCCGTGCTC